TATACTCGTAAAAAGTCCATTATCGGTACTGGATACTCATTTCATCCAGGTATCTGGCTCAACCCTACTATTTGCTGGGTACGATATAATGGAGTAATGGTGTCCTGACCAGAGAATGAAGCCATGCTACCTCTCTGTGTGCAACCTCATACAACGGTTCGTACAACATAGTACCCCATGAATGACTTCACATACTTAACGTTAAGTGACATCATACCTTGAAATGACTCAAAGTTCACTTAAACTTCACACAGTTCCAACACCAACCACCGAGGGAAAGTCCTGGAGGAAAGTCTTGTGTTTTGTGACCCATCCACCACCCCAGCTGTCCTTGAGCAGCGAACGCTTCCTTCTTTACTCCCACCAGTGCATTGCGATCGCAGCTTTCCCAAATATTTAGGTTATATGTGAATTACTGGTTCATGATTACATAGGATATGTGCAAATTTTAATTTTGGTGCATGATGTCTTGTAGGAAAATGTACAAACAGTGCATCAGAACAGCTGTATGTTGTAGTCTGACCTTTTCTGATCTTTGTTTTGGTAGACGCGGTGGCTACATGTGCATGTGATTCCCAGTGTTTGTATCCCACTGGTAGCTAATCGGCGCCCCCTGCTCTGCCCTCATACAGTGATTACCGCTGATTATGACAAAAGCATTATCACAAAAACGTACTGCCCCCACTCTGGGTTGCCCCCACATTAACACTGTTAGCTCTGTCAGCACTGTTGCAGTTGTTTACACTATTCCTGCTCAGCCACCTCGAGGTTGAGAGCCATGTGCAAGCAATCAGGGCTCAGAATCTGAATCATAAATATGCTCTGAATGTTGTATACAGCTCCTTTGATGAAAGGTTATTATTTGTCATATTACAACAAAGGATTGAACAATGAAATTTAAGATGTTGCCCCTCCATGCTACACACACATACAAGAAATACTCAGATTAGTTTATATGATAATAAATTGCAATTGCACTGGAGTAGAGTCCTATTCAGTAGACAGAGAAGCAAAATCTAAGCTACCAGGATGCAATTTGTGCATAAGTATGTAGCCACTATCACTTTCTATCACTCAGTAAAGTCAAACAGTTACTGTGGGGAATATATTAACGGGTAGAATGTGACGCTTAACTGGCCATAGGTGCTTATGTCTGTGCTGCCGTTAGCATAACTCCAACCTTAAAAGAAAACAAAAAGGGAAATATGTTGCAAACCCTGGTCTCAAATGTCAAGGTCAGACACTTTGTACCTCCAACCCCAAAAGAGGTTTTGCAGCAATATAATAACATCACCTGCATAACATCAACAGACATTATTTTCACAACCACAAAAGCAACAGCTGATGCTGTAGTATTTCTGGTGGTGACACTCTCATCCAGAGCACTTCCAATGATTTAAAACAATACTAGAAATGATAACATCTGATCTGCCAAAAATGAGACAAGTGTAAGAGGATGTGAGAAATAATGACCTCACTGTTCATCGTGTGAAAATGCTTCCTCAGCAGAAGTGTTAATAACACAAGCTAAATGTAATCATCTCAGCCTGAGAGTAAAATCTTCACTCCTTGCGATTGTTAGTTCTTACTCTTACTCCATGTGTTTATAAAGACATAAACATTTCCCCATTCTTCATCTGCTTCTCTGGAGAATGCTAATAAAGTGCTGCTGGGTGGTTTGGGCAGAGACTTATAGACTGAAGGGCCAACAAGGCCTGCTTTAGAATAACAACACTTTAAGCTTCTGGGTGTTAGGGTAAATGGTCAAGTGTAATCCCTTTAGCTCCTGACCAGCATTAGCAGAAATTCCTCAATAATACGCAACATGATTTCATAGTGACTGCTGCCTTTGAGAGATGTTTGTAATGCTGAAAGGGTCACCGAGGGGCACAGACAGACAGGCAGACAAGGGGACTTAAGTGTGCCGGTTTGGGGAACAAGGTTCCTTTTTTTCTGGCAATTTCAGACTTGAGCCATTAGGATCCATTTTTCTTTAATAACAAAGAGCGTGGCAGAGCACGGCTGAATGTTTGTACAGCTGATTATTAACACCACACCTTTCTCCACTCTACTATGCTGTGGGAAAAAGAGGAAAAGACAAAACTAAGGGCCTGTGTTGTATATATAAAAAAAAATCTGAATCTATACATCTGGGGCCAGATGCATAAAACTTTGTTTATATTCACGACTAAATCTGTGTTTACGCACATGGTCAGAAATGTGCACACGCATTCTCCAGATTTATAGAGACGCATGCACGCCTGGTTCTCTTTTACATATTTTAATCATTGTGGAGCTGGGCACACATGGCCGAGCCTTATTTACATTCCCACATGCTGCCATCAGTGAATGCAGAAATGCCCTTAAACATCTGTTGACATAGATAGTTGCGCCTGCTCCAACACTCATTTAGACCTGTCATTGAGAAATATGGCAAAGAAAGTACAATTTCACCGTCTGTGTTGTATCGGCAAGGTTCTTCAACGGTGCCAGAGAAGCTGTCATTACGCACAGCTGTGGCTTTTTGTAGCGTCCATTAAAGCTGCAACTGGTAACTTTGATGAAAATATCCTCTTCACATATTTGATGAAACTGTTAGTGTAAGACAGAAAATATGTGACAAAAAATCATGTTCCTCTGCCTCTCCAAGGAGTCACTAACGCAGCTGTAAATCATACCAATCACTGCTTGTGAACTGTGGGCAAACTGTCAAACTAGACAGTGCTGATCAAATACAGTCAAGAGTCTGTTACTGCATTGCCTATTTCTCATCTTAAATGTTTTAAGAAACATATTTTAGTGTACTGTTTAGCTGTGAAATGAGAAAATTTGCTCTTGGCGTTGTTTGTATTTGGCTTAACTGTTTTCAAAATGGCATCCGGATCACAAACTCTGTCACTTTACAGCTAAACAGTACAATTGTGATTAAACCGTCAAATTAGGCAGCCTTGATCAAGTAAAGTCAAGATTCTGTTACTGCATTGCCTGTTTCACACCTCAAATGTTGTCAGAAAAATATTTTAGTGTACTGTGTAGCTGTAAAATGAGAAACATTTGTCATCCGGTCACCATGGTGAAAACAGTCAACCCAAAGCTAACCATCGCCTACCAGCCAGAGCAAACTTAGTCATTTTACAGCTAAACAATACACTGATATACAGTATGTTTCTAAAAACATTTAAGGCAAGAAATAGGCAATGCAGTAACAGAATCTTGATTTATATTTGATTAGTGCTGCTTCGTTGGACAGTTTGATCACAGTTCACAAGCAGGAATAGACATGATTGACAGCTGAGTTAGAGACCCCTCAGCTCTGACTGGTTGTTTCCGTTCAGGCACATTAGATTCCTGCAATTGTCTATTAAAAGCATTACGAGGAGGCAGAGGAACACCATTTTTTTCACAGATTTTCTGTCTCATGTACAACTGTCAGGCGCAGTAGATTCCTGCAAATGCCATTAAAAGCATTATGACTCATTTTACAGCTCAACAGTACACTGAAATATGTTTCTGATAACATTTTAGGCAAGAAAATAAGCAATGCAGTAAAAGAATCTTGATTCATATTTGATCAGTGCTGCCTAGTTTGACAGTTTGATCACAGTTCATGTGCCGTGACTGACATGATTGATGTGACTGACATGACTGAGGGCTGCGTTAGAGTCTCCTCGCTACTGATTGGTTGTTTTTGTTCAGGCATAATGGATACTTCTAAATGCCATTAGGAGCAATAGAGGAGGCAGAGGAGCATGCTTGTTCTTCCACAGATTATCTGTCTCATGAACAACTATCAAGATGCCAAAATATCACAGTTATGTTTATAAAAGTTACCAACTACAGCTTTAACAGTGAGGCGATGCTCATATGTATATAAAAAGACTAAAGTTCATCACACATAAATAATTAAAAATGAAGTTTAGAAATGAGTCTTTGATTGACATGACAGAACAGACAGCAATAATAACAAAGTCAGTGAAAACAGCAAACAAACTGAAAACAATGTCACCCATCTCTCAGCTTATATTCAATCTTCCCCTCATCATATCACCTGCAGCTATCTCAGCTAAAACCATGTGTACACCCGGTCTTGAGTCTGCGTGAGCTGCTCACATTCTACCTCTGTGAGTCTACGTGTATGTGTGCGAAGTAGCGTTTTCCATACGCATTATTTATAGATCCAGGCCCTGGTCCTTGTTGTTTGTATTACACTTATTAGCGCTGGTGTATTTTAGAGAGAGATGCTAAGCTTCTTCAGCAGAGCAGATTTGACAATGAGTTTATTGAAACAAACCTAATTAGTCTGAAGAATAAACCCACCAGCTGCATCCCACAGCAGCCTCATCTGATACCTGTAGCACACACTGGATATACCGTAGAGCTGCACCAATCTGAGGTCAGCGCTCTTTTTTTCCCTAATGTAAAATCTGTTAACCTCTTTGTATGGAAGTGATTAAATATGTGTAAGCTAATGTAAAGCTGTAGCTACACATAAATTCTGAACTACTATAAATTTTAATTGTAGCCTGAGGTCTTATGAAAACAACATAATGAAGTCAAAGCAGGAAATAGATGGACTGCAGCTGGACTACACCACACTGGAAATCAGCGCAGGAAGACAAACATTTTAATTGATGGGTTTGCCGATGAGGAAGGAGACAACTGGAGTGAATCAGAGAAGGTCTGACAAATGCTCTCAAGCAACCTGGGACTGGACAGTGTAAATATGTGTCCTGAGCATGCCCAGAGAATGATCCAGGAGGGGGAAGCCCAGGAAAACTGGGGACAAAGCATCCTTTCCCCTGCCAAGAAATGAAAGGGCACGAATATCTGTATGAATGACTTCTGGGAAGAAAGCTAAATAATAATAGTGTTTCTTCTATCTAGTCATTCTTAGTTTTTCAGGACTGACAGAATGTTGGAAAACCTTTCTGTGAGTAGTCTTCGCTGGCAGTTTTTCATACCCCAAAAATACGCACCCCCCAGTACAGTTTCAAACTCACCTGGGAGAAGTTGAGCCCATTGAGCGGATGGCACTGCTCCTCCACCTTCTCCACAGCCCCCGTCCTCTTCCTCATCCTCTCCGCCTCCTGGGCCAGGTACAAGTCCAGCACCGGCACCCCTCGCGTCTTAATATCTGCCTCGGTTAACGAATTCACCATCAGCATCACCCAAACGGGTCGCTTCCTCTCCCAGTTCCCAGCGATGGCATTGAAGAGGTAGTCCGCGTAGAGCCCCTTCCCTCTCTGATCCGGGGTCATCCACGAAGGCATCATGAGTTTTACATACTCAAGGTGTCTTTTGAGTCTCCGGTAGATGTCTCTGGGTAAGACATCCTGCAGGTTCTCGCCCTGAGGAAGCAGCTGGCAGCTGGTCAGGGCCGAGATGGTGTAAGGGTCGGTCAGGTCCAGCTCAAAGTAGACGATGTTGCTCTCCTGGAAGGCCTGCTTGGAGTTTTCAGGGATGAAGTCCCAGACACGTGTGTAGGGGACGTGGATTGTACCGTAGAAGTATGAGGGAGGGTCCCGTTTGATCGTCCACAGGAAGGAGTTTAGGTCAGTTTGCTGGGGGGAAGACAAGAAGAAATAAACAATTATTTTCAGTGCTGATTATTTTGTTGAATGTTTTCTGATTAATGGCTTCATAGATGCCCGAGGAGCCGTCTTCAAATTAGTGTTGTTACGATACCGAGTTTCTAATTTCAGTACCTTGAAAAATAGCAATATTCCATACCATTTCAATACAAATAAAATTGACATTGACAAATTACTTTTCTTTTCTTGGTTGGCAGCATAGCAGGAAAGTGCAGCTGGTACCGAAATGTTGTGCTGCAGAAAATGAGTTTGTGTTTGAAATATTCAGAATCAATACGCGTATGCTTGTTTTGTTTTTTGTGACCAATGATTTAAGACCCAAAGAAATTCAATTTAAAGTGATATAAAAAACTGAAAAGCAGTAAAATCCTCACATTTAAAAAGCTGGGATCAGTGAATGTTTGCCATGTTTGATTATTAAAATTCCTGTTGCTTAATTTTCTTACATTTCAGCTGCACATATTCAAGTGATACACATATTGTGGAAAGAAAAAAGAAAAGATGACTAGTGGATTCGCAAAAACATGCACCAACACCGGGCCTGTCTGACACCAGCCAGCAAAGCCACCACTTTGTCTGTGAAAGGTTGTTTATTAGACTGATAACAGACTGATAATGACTTATTAACAGGCCACTTAGGACCCAAGTGCCAAACTAACAATACACATGTCAGTGTTTGTCAGACTGCGAGCTCAGCATGTCCGGCCTTCCTGTTTCTGCTGGATCTGACCTGAAATGCTCTGAGTTTGAAGACACAATCAGAACTCACAAGTTAGACGACAGAAGTCATCAATAAAAGAGCGGTTAAGTAACTTGAATCAGTTGTAACATACAAGACAAAAGGACAGAGTACGTCTTGAACGGCTGCCATTTTCGCCAAATACACACATTTGGGTGGACAGTGTGTAAAGACCCACATGTTACTCAAAGCCAATACACAAAACTAGAGCTGGACGATCAATTAATTCATTGATTAGTCGATTGACAGACAATGAATCATTAATATTCAATCAATTTCACTGCTACCATTATTATTATTATCATTATTAGTAGGATTTCTTTGGGTTTTGTGCTTTTGGTCAGAGTAAAAACGATATGAAGACGACACTGTGGGCTATGGGGACTTGTGATGGACATTTGAATCTGTTTTTCTATATTTTATGGGCTATAAATTCATAGATTAGTTTGAAAAGAAATGGTATAAATAATAAATCAATAATGCAAATAGTCAGAAGTTGCAGATCTATACAAAACATAAGGGGTTAAGTGGACAAAGCTGATTTTGCCAGTGCAATAAACCTTATCAGCACAAAATGGGAACCACAAATTAGGCATGTTAACCACAAAGATGTGCTGCATATTGAGAAGTTGGACCAAATATTATGTCCCTGGTGTAGAGACAGTGGACAGTATGTCAAACAGCAACAACAGCTTTACTGACAAAATAAAAGTGGCAGCTGTGAGAGCTCCAGATAAGACATTATACTGGATATAACCAACTTTTGCACCTCTTACGCAGCGTAATTCCTCACTCATTTCACTTTCTAATGACTTACTTTCTTGTTCAGCTCGCAGTTGTCGGAGTCCTTCAACCTCCACTGGTCTGCCCGGACCAGTAGTATCACACAGGACTGAATGAATGCGCCCAAAGTGCCCCGCATCGTAGCTCTCTCCAAAGTGTGCACGGTAGCTCGTGTTCGCTTCGCAACGTGTTGCAGCTGACTATTCCCCAGAAAGCATGGATGGAAGTACCTACTTCCACAGAAGCTCCGGCTCCATGCGGTCGCGTAAAATGAGCTGACAAGTATCCGACAAACCGCCGGACAGAGTCATGCTGGCTGGAGCCCTGGACATGGACGCGCTGCTGCTGCTGCCGCCGCTGTTTCACGTGTGTTTGAGACACGGAGAGAGGTGGTCACTGGAGTTTACGCAGGGTCACATCACCCTCTCACTGACTCATGTCCACACAGCTTTCTCTGCATTGCCTTGCAAAAGTTTGCGCGAGTTTATCCAAAACTTTGAGCGTCTCGAGGGTCACACCAACAGGTCCGCGCACGCGTCAACGCACCTGGAGCCAAAACAGAGTAAATCTCTTGATTGTTTTCCAAGTTATTTGGTTAGTGATGGTGAACCTGGTGTAAATGAAACTGCACCGACGACTTGCACTTTTAAACCCCAACTTCTCCGCACACACACACACTGCTCTATCTGCCTGCCAAGTCCTCACTGTTTGGATCCGCAGCTCTCCCCCTCTCTCGTGTGTGTGTGCGTGTGTGTGAGCATCTCTGTCGGGCAACCCCACTCTACCTACCCCCTGGGTTGCCAACATACCCCTCCCTCCATCTCTCCCTCACACACACACACACAGCAGTAATCTGATTAAACATCACCCCGCCCGCCACACGTAAAGTCTCCTTACACTTAATTCATGTCAATAAACAAGGTGTGGAAGCCTGCATACCCTTAAGAGTCACAAAGCCACAACTAATATATCAATATATTGACAAATATCCAGATTAAAAATAGATTGCACTTTTAATTTCAGTGTCAGACTGATGAGGTCTCTTGTCACCCAACAGGAGGCCTGCAGGCAATGGAGGGTGTCAGTGGAGATCCCGTGGATAGATTATCATGCCCTGCTAGTTAATGCCTGACAAACTGGAGACATTAACATGAGAAAAAGATCCACAATAACAGCTTTGCTCTGGGTTCCATCAGCACAGACATGGCAACCCCAGAACTTTTTATGAAGATCTGCAGACTGCATGCTGCAGCTTGGAGTTTAATGACACTAAACCATAAAGAGGAACTGTTGATTACCATTTATGCTCCATGATAAAATGTGTTTGTAGCTTATAAATACTGATGTTTTAGTGGTAAATGGCTACTAAAAATACAGTTTTTGCAATATTAATTAAGTAAAGGAGTGAAAGGATCTGCATGTCTGAAAGTAATGCTCATCTGTGTGTTGGTGCTTGCATGTCTGTTTGTGCCAACATGCTGTTTATTGCTGTTGCATGTTGCTTTGTATGGCTTGATACTTTCCAATTGCTGTAGTTAATGCTGTCTTTATGTCTTTATGCTGTCTTTGTCCTGTGGATTTTATCCTTTTATTGGTTTCAAAACATGTTGCCAAAGGACTCCAGCTGAAAATTAGCCAGCTGGCTAACACTGGCACATTTGCAGAAATGTTGATTAATGTGTGTTGTCCTTATACATAAAATTAAGTAAAGTAAGACTACTGGATTTGGGCTATGGTCTGTTTTTTGATAGGGTGAAAGGGGTGAAAGGGGGAAGGAAAAAATATTCTGTTCATGATTTGTGGTTATTGATAATTACATTCTTGTTCAACATTGCCATTAGTTGCTAAGATATAAAACCACAGCTGGATGTGACACAAAAATGAATCAATCAAAATACACCAAAGTGCAAAAGCAGCTCTGTAATAATTTAAGTGTGCACACTGATGGTCTTTTCCTTATCAGAAAACTCTCTAAAAAGAATCCCTGCCCCTTTAACAGTCACTAAAGAGCTTATAAAGTCAATAATGTAACCTAAAATAGGCGGATTGTACTCACAAAGTACAAAGGTACAGGTGGGATCCGGCTGATTTGGATCTGGAAGCTGATCTATGCGCTGTGACTCTATGCTTCGCACCGCCAGACTCCTGGTTCACACGGGGGCAGCGAGCACATGTTGGTGTTGTCAGACGTCTGAGTAAATACAAACCGGGCTGTTGATGCGTTGAAAGACTTCAGATTTTCATTGTTGAGACAAAGAACAGGCTGAAAAAGTCATGATGAGGCCAGGATGACTGGCAAGACAGGAATCAGAAGTCCAAGACACATCTGTGAACAGTCACTGATCGTATCAAATAACAGTTTAATCAATGTTTTAGCTTGGCAAGTTTACCCAAGTTACTGACATTAAATAAGACACTAGAATTAGACACAAATATGTTCAGCCTATACATTTAAACTGTGTTTCTGACCATGTGTGTTCCTAATGGGGCCCTGTTAAAGCTCCCCCTAGTGGACAAACTTATGCTTACCATGTCAGCTTCTCTCAGTCCTCTGTTTTGTCCAGCACTGATGCTGAAACAAGTCTGTGCTTTGTCAACACTGTGCCAGATTCAGTCATGCCATTCAAAGCCATTGTGGAATTTGAAACGCTGAAAGAGAAAATGGAGACACAGGCTGAAGATGAAAGTGAGGATGAAGGGCGTGAGGACAAAACACAGACAAGAGGAGAGAAGACAGAAGAGAAGCAGACGCGGTTACAGAATACAGACGTTGTGAGTGATGTCTCTCCAGCATCCTGAGCTGAAAACTTCAGGATGTGGCAGGTTCGGTCACACTGGTCTCAAAACGTCTGTCCTAAAATATGAGTCTAATTTAGTTTCAACTTATTGACCTTCCTCTGTGTTCACTCTGTTTCAATTCCAGATTGGAGAAAGATAAGGAACACCTCCTTACAGGGAGCACTACTCTTCTCAGAAGATCTCATCACAAGTTTTTAAAATTACTTCTGCCTCTTGCCAATGTATCCAAGGTGCTGCCAGATCACAACGAAAGAGGCAAAAACAGTGATGGCCGTGTGCGTGTTTGCCCTCATCTTTGTTTATGTTATGCATCTGTGTAAAGGTAAAAAGCCCACCTGCAGCTGCTTCCTCTTTAATGTCCAAAAAAAGGTTGAGAGGCATCTGTGTGCAGCCTCAAACACACACACCTGTTCTGTATTTCCATTATCTCCCCACTTAGCCCACAGAGGATATTCTATATAAATATTCATCCGACATACCTCATCCTCTCGAGCTCTGTGCAGCATTACTTTTGTCTGAGGTAAGACCTGTTAACTGCTGTTAACTGAAACCACATATTTTGGCTCTTGACTAAAACTACATGTGGGATCAGGACAAAGTGCGGGGGGTCACGACTCCTGGGATAGTCAGGAAGCCACTAACCGGTGCATCACGGTGTCACATAGCAGAGCTGAATGTTTCCATAGCTTAAAAGCAGATGATGCAGCAGCATGTGTGGTAGATGGGTAAAGAAATGGTTGAGGTGACAAGTGTTTTTTGTCGGGTAACGAAAAATGTGTGTGATATTCTTCTTTTTCTATAGGGAAGGTTATGTCAAGAATATTTTGTTTTAAAGGGAGGATGGATTTAAGGTTTTACAACCCATTGGCTGTCATAAAAAGTCTACTTCTTCCTTTTTATATTTCTTTATCTGCATTTATTTTGACAGTTATGTATTTGCATGACCCTTCACATGCTGTGTAATGACCTGCAAAACTCACTCAGAACATATAAAATAATCTTTAAAAGAAACCCTGAAATTAACGGTGATCCGCAACCCACATCCCTCCAACACTTTAATGTATTTTAATGTATTATTTCTATTATTCTTTGAAAGCGGAGTCTGTTTGAAGCCTGTTCTAGACTTCAGTGACCCCTGTCAGTACCGATACTACAGTACATCTGTACATTTCCACTTTAAAGTGGCTCTGTTTGTGAAGATCAAACGGCACTGGGGTCTACTGAGGGTTCCCGAGCAAACATCTGATTCTGCCTCTTTAGAGAGATCTTCAAAGGGATTTCACAATATGGAAATGACCACATATGTTTCATTTTATGAAAGAGTGGGAGGTGGATGTATTTGATCCTGTCAGGTTAGCACCACAACTCTGTCAGTCTCTTTGGAACAGTGAAAGCATAAAACAGTGACAAATATCTTGGTCCGCAATAATAATAAATAGCAATAAACAAAGAGAGTAAATGTGTGTGTAAATAAGCTTGCAAGTACTTCCAGATTGTGCGGAAGTGCGTGTACTCCGTTTACACATCTCCGTTTTATAATTGTGAAACTGGACCATAGAGGACACGACTGTCATTAAGCACCCTGCTGGAAATATGTATCCATTCATTACACATGGCAAGAGAAGAGAAGCACACGGACAACTATGTAAGCCTTCCAGTAATACTCTGAGTTCGTATGACTCAGTCCATTTACAGATGGTCACTCATATCGTCCATGGTCTACTTCCTTCACACCCCATTAAACTCTGATTGAAAAGACCTGGCACTAGTATCGGCTATTGAGTGTGCGTGTGTGTCTGTACTGTGTGTCTCACTGTCTGCATGCTCGCATCGTCTCTCTGTGTGAGTCGTTGGAGGGTTCAGGGTTGGTCAGAAGTGAGGCTGAGCCAAGAGAACTGTTATTGCGACATGAAGAGATGAAAATTTGCTCAAAAATATTCATCTGTCACGTTTGCACAATGATTCTTAATTTCATTGTAATTCTAATGTTATTATTTGTGTGGGAGCCTACTGCTAAAGTTGGAAACCACTGCTCTATGCAGCAGAGTGTGAAGCGGTTAGAATGAGAGTCAGCACCACCAAATCGGAGGCCATGGTTCTCTGCCGGAAACCGGTGCATTGCCCCCTCCAGGCTGGGAGAGAGAGAGTTCAAGTATCTCAGGGTCTTGTTCACGAGTGAGGGTAGAATGGAGCGTGAGATGGATCTGCGGTTTGGCGCAGCGTCTTCAGGTCTCCTGAAGGCAAGGCTTTGGGTTTACTGGTCCATCTATGTTCCAATCCTCACCAATGGTCATGAGCTTTGGGTAGTGCCCGAAAGAATGAAGTTGCGGATACAAGTGGCCAAGTGTGGGGTGGCTGGGCTCAGGCTTAGAGATAGGGTAAGGAGCTCGGACATGTGGAGAGAGTTCGGAGTAGAGCTGCTGTGCCTTTGCGTCAAAAGGGGTCAGTTGAGGTGGTTCGAGCATCTGATCAGGATGCCTCCTGGGCGCCTCTTGCAAGAGGTGTTCCTGGCATGTTCAACTGTAGGAAGCCCCAGGACAGACCCAGAACACACTGGAGGGATTACACATCTTGTCTGGCCTGGGGACGCCTTGGGGTCCCCAAGGAGGAGCTGGAAAGTATTGCTGGGGTAAGGGACGTTTGGAGTACTTCGTTTGGCCCGCTGCCCCTGCAACCCAGCTTTGGATATGCAGCTGAAAATGGATGGATGTGGGCGTCGGTGGCTTAGTGGATAGAGCAGGCGCCCCATGTACCCAGCTGCTGCCGCAGTGGCCCGGGCTCAACTCCAGCCTATGGCCCTTTGCTGCATGTCACTCCCTCTCTCTCTCCCCCCTTCACACTTAGCTATCCTATCAATTAAAGGCAAAAAAATGCCCCCCCACCCCAAAAAAAGAAAGAAAATGGATGGATGGATGGATGGAGTGATACTGATG